GAAGGTCTCGTTTCTTGAATGTGTTTTTTGAACCTTAGTAGAAGATTTAAGCTTATATCTACCAAATGATCTCAATCTATAGACTCTGCAATGCTGAAGCAGGAAAATCTATCTGGAATTCTACATAGAGGAAGATCCAACAAACTAAGCCTCTGAAATGGGAGATGGACTAGGTTTCTGTCTAACAGGTTCTTTAATGGCCTTGATCATAGAATTTGATCAAGGCAATGCCTTGGACACTAGAATACTGCTACTCTGGGGAAAGTTTAGTTTCAAAGTGGGTATGACTTTCAACATTGACAGGAGATAGTGGACCTTACAGTTTCCAATGGACTGCTGGGTTTTCCCTTGTACTCTTGCCAGTTCATGAACCACAGTACCATAGAGAAAAGAAGGTCAAGTTATAACCTTAATACTGTCAGTAACCAGCTAGGTGACCATGGGCAAGTTAATTCACTTTTCCAGGTACTGATTTCCTCTCCATTAACAGAGAGGTTTGGACTAGATCAGTTCTGAGACTTAGGATTTCTGTATTTTTGACTTCCCCACCCAACCCCACCTCAACATTTAAGATACAAAAAAAGAGGTTGCTTCCCTAAATTTAGGACCTACCTCTCCTCCATTTCTTGAGCTTGGCCAGGAAAGTGACTTATTCTTTAGCACATGACTGACATCATCATTCAAAATCCATCGCAAACTCTTAAGGGCAGCTAAACTTCTCCACTGTGGCCCCTAATCGGATGGTGACAGCATTATGGAGGAAATGATTTCTCCTAACCCAAACCAACTGAGCTGTGATTGCAGGCAGAACAATTTCATGAAGATAATGGGGGAGATTCCTGTGGCTCCTGTTAATCACCAACGCTTCACGCACTGATGCGCTAATAAGTACAGTCACACTTAATCAGGGCAGACAGCCACATCCTCCTGGGGCTGGGAGAAAATGACAGGAGCGGGACAGCTACTCCACTGGAGAGGTCAAGAGACCACACAGAGGCTTCACAGCAGTCAAAAGGCCTTGCAAACGAATACTGTCATTATATCCCCTAAGGAGGAGAAACAGGAAAGCCGTGTTATTAGGAAATGTCTCCAGTGCTCTGGGCAAGGAAAAGACCCTCTCCTACCCTTCCTTTCTGGCACTAGTCTGAATAGTGCTGGGATCTCCCCACCACAACCCTGGTGATCCTTCCCAGTCACACAAAACTTGTTTCCTGAAGACCATCTCACTCCACATACAAAACAACAGCATCCCCGAGATGCCTTTCATCTTATTTGGTGGCTGGAGAAACTCAAATCCAGAGAGGCTCATGTATCTCTAATGAACTCTGTGTAACAGAGTTAAGTGGCCAAAGCTCTGGACTAGGAAGCAGGAAGCTAGGTTTTTATCTCAGTGGCAATGTTGACTCACTGTGCAACCAATGGTAACTTTCATCCCTGGGTCCCTTCTTTCTCCCACTGTAAAATAGAATCAATATTGACCAAACAAAGATACTAAGAGAAAAAAAGGAAAATCTATGTCAAAGAGACTTGGGCCGTTCAGAGTTAAGGAGCTCTTCATAACCCAGTAACAATTACAGTAGAATCCGGTTACAAGTAGGTCTTGGAGAACAAAGCGACTCCTCAGTTATGCAACTTCCTGATGAAGATAATATAATGCAGTGGTTAAAAAGATGAGCTCCAGAGTCAGACTTTCTGGGTTCATTTCTGACTCCACCACTCATTATGAATTACGTCCCTTAAGTCTCCATTTTCCCATCCATAAGATGAAGAGCATGACAGTACCTACACCTCACAGGGCTGCTGAGGGAATGAAGTAAGATAATTCATATAAAGAGTCTAGAACAGTCACGAGCCCATAGCAAGTAACCAAAATGGATTGGATATCATTTGACTTAATATAAGGCTAAAACTTGGAAAATCTAGACTAACAGATGAATAGCTGGTAGTATGTTATCTTCCCGCAATATTCTGCTATCTAACTTCTGATGAAAGCCCAACTGAAAAAAAATCAGCTCAAGATTAAAGTTCCCAAGATGAGAACCACATTGGCTATATAGGTAACTAAAGGAAGATCCAGAGGTATAGCATAACAACGGTGCTGGGAGCGAGGTACAGGGAGGTCCTCTAGCAGGCAAGCTGAGACACCTGACCCATGTTCTCTCCCAACAGAAGAGACAATCCTGTTCCCCATGGTGAACTGTAAGGTAAGGATGACCCACATGAGAAGGCTGTCATGGGAAATGTGCCATGAGTACCCACTCGGGACATGATGTGACGTGAACAGCAATAACCAAGCCTTGACCTAGCAAGGAGCTCATACAAGGTTCTTCTACACTATAATCAACACGAGGGCTCTGGAGAACACCCAGGTCCGCTGGCTTCCAGTCACGAGACCACCATACTGACCTCCAGCAACCCAGAAACATCCCTGCAAGACACTTAAACGAGTATTTAGCGCTTTCCCCCTCACCTCTTCAGTATTCCTATCATGTGCCAATTAAAACTCCTTCCCAAGCTAACTATTACCTCTCCAAACCAGAAGGGCTTTATAAGAAAGGAAATCACCAGATCTGGAGACGAACCAGGATAAGCGTGCAAAACCTTGCAGACGTGTTCCCCACCCCTCCCCAACTGTGCTTCCTTTGCTGAACGATTAATTCACTTCTCTTTCCTGGCTTGGCAACTAGCCCTTCCACCTATAGTTCAGCGGCAATGGGGCTCACATCCCAGGCTGTCTGGAAACAATTCCTTCAGCTGCATGGCTACAGGCCAGCAAAGGGCCTGAGAACCAGTTACAGTCTCCGTAGGTGAGGGTAAAAGGGATATAGAAAATAAAAGAGCCAGAGATCAGGATTAGCTCTGAGAGCTATGAAACGTGGAAAACACTGATATGATAGGGAACCAGATGACTACTCCTTTGTCACTGGGTAATAAGAACTTAATTCTGTCCTTCGCTTCAAGATCAAAGTTCCAACGGGCATTGTTCTTAGACTCAGGTTTTGGCGGAAGAACTGGACGACCCCACTGAGTTTGCATTGCTACGCTAGATTGGATGGCAAAGCAAATATAACCATCTCCTTTACCTAGGTTTCCTGCTCAAAATCCTTTCGTTCTGCATGTCTCCCTGATTCTAGCCAATGCCTATTCATGGGACCTTGGGCAAGTCACTTAATCTCTCTGAGCCTCAACTTAACTTTACTTATCCGTAAAATTGGGCATGAAAATTACCTGTCTTAACTTCTTCATGGAGGTTTTTGCAAGGATCAAGTAAGATTAAATATTAAAGCACTTTGTAAATTAAAATGTGCCATTTGTAACTTTAATAAATTCCAAGGTCCACAGGGTCCAGTCTCTGGACAAAACTAAAGTCAGATGTAAAGTAGAACACGCAAAATGAATTAAAGGGAATCCTAGTCTTCAGTTGTATCTGTCAAAGACCATTACAGACGATGCAATTCATAAGTCTCAGGAACGCTTTGTATTTCCTTTCCTCTCCTCCCTAGATCCACTACACCTCAAAGCCACACAAGTGTTTTTCACTCTTCCAAGCCCTGAATTCTCATCTCCAGCCCTTCTGGTTTTTCTTTCTCTCCCTCTCCTTCCTACTCTTTCTATCAGTTCTTTAATATGCAGCTCAACTTCACCCCACTTTCACTTTTTTCCTCTCAACTGTACTATTATCTAAAAGTGAAATCGGGCAACTTGCCCCTTTTTCCTTCTACCTTTCCAGTTCTAGCTCTTTCCATCCAATTCCCTGATTTGCATTAAAAAGCTTGGGAATAGGTGGGTAAGGGCACAAATCTCCTTAGAGGAAGAGGCTAAATCAGCAAAGTATAATTCTCTTAATGGAGCTAGGGTGGGGAACAGGACATATATAATAGTAAATCTTGACCCTGTCACGTTTTTATTCTTATTATCCCCACTTGGCAAGGTACCTACAAATCTATTAAAGATGTCTTACGGCATAAGATGCATTAAGATATCACATAGCATCAAAGAAGGGACAAGCAGGAGAGAATTTGGGAGGAGTCCTCATAGAAAGCCAGGGTTAGTGGTTTATGTCTAGAATGGTTGGGACCTTACCATTGCACACCTGTAAGGGACCTTTTAGACACAAATAGTGTTTTCCAAAGTCACCTCTATATTAAAGTAGTTCTCAGGATATTAACACTTATACACGGAAAAAATATGATTCCATGGCCAATTCAGTTTGAGAAATGCTGCGTTAAAGGGATTTCTCTGACTTTAGGACTTCCCAGCACATTTAAATTGAATAATTTTAACATGAAACATTTCGGATGGTAAATGTTTTACAGGATACATTTTAAGAAATGCTGGTTTTGACTCTCCTCCTCATTTTATAGACAAGGAAACTGAGACCCATGGGCGGATACTGACCCTCATAACATCATTCAGAGTTCCGGGGGAGAAGAGGGGCTAGAGCCCACGTCTGCAAACCCCAGTTTTGTGTGTTAGACTTCTGGAGGAATGATAGAGAGGAAGCATGCCTCCACAGAACTGCAAAAGTTGCATTTACTCAAGCATCAAGGTTACTATACATCAAGGATGGTTACAAAATAATCATCCAGGACAACCAACATCACAAAATCTAACTAGATCCCACATGTCATGGTTGTAGGCCACTGAACAGTATACAGAATTATGATGAAGGGTCACCTTAGCTAGAGGCAATCTTCTTTTCTACCACACATCAAGGTGAGCACCACTCCTGGAGCTGTCTGCCTGCTCCTGTTGCAGAGCCCTTAACCAACGGCCAAGATCTCTCCAGTTGTTCGCATAAAACTAAGTACAAAGTTCAAATGAAACTAAAAGAGAATTGCATTATATAGAAGCAATGACAGACTAGTGAGAGAGTTCCCCTATATCTTGCACTAAAATAGCCACCTCCAAATCTTGCCTCTCTATCAACAGGGAGATGGGTCAATGTTAGGGGCACTCTGGTTCCATCAGAGGAAAATAAGAGATGACAGCCCGTTTACCTTCTTCTTGGATTTAAAGACGTTACACCTGAAGATATTGCTGGCACCATCTCGAGCGATATAGCTGAAGATCTTCAAGTCTTGGGAGTCGTGAGAGACGTAGAAGATCCTACAGGAAGAACAACAGAAAAATGCACTGAAAATGGCATTAGGCTCAAATCTCCAATGAGGAAACCTCTGCTTAAGGACACTCTACGAACAGAGCTCACTCAAGCCAAGTCCTTAGAGAAAGTTTTCTTTCTATGAAAGCCACAATGCAGGAGACACTTTCCATGGGCTCCACAAACACTGACATTCCAGTGACTGACCTCCAGATGTGAAAGGGTGGACACAGGTAGGACATGGACCCCACGCTATCACCAGTAAATCTGTCCTGGCAACTTGTACGTTAGAAGGAAAAAATCATTCCCATCCTTATCAGAGCGATAAATCTGCATCTAAGCCAGGGAAACGTGGGGAAGTTTCCTAATACCTGTTCACAGTTACCTCCGAATGAGGAGACTTAGGGAACCAGCAATGCTAACCACATTGGGAGACACTCTGTTTCATTATTGTAGGTCCCTCGGTGATAGTGACTTCACTTTCTGTCCCACTCCATCAAGTCCACGGCTTCCATATATTCATTCCATCAGTCACCCAATCCCCCTGAGTGCACACCATGGGCCAGGCACTATCCCAGCAGCCAGAGGAACAAAGCAACAGAACCTATAAAGCCCCTGAACTCATGGAGCTCATGTTCAGGAGACATCAATAAACAAACAGAAAATCAGTGCCATGAAGAAAAAATAAGGGACAGAACATGACAGAGCTGCTATATTAGACAGGGTGCTTAGCAGGAAGGCCTCAAAGAGAGGCAAAGACCTAATGATGGGAGGGTGCCTGTTACTGGACTACGAGGGCAAAAGCAGTGCAGAAAGTGGGAACAGCAAGTTTCAAAGCCAGGTGGTGTTTATAAGGCGCTCGAAGCATTCAAGGAATGGCCAGAAGGTCAGTGTGGCTCAAGTCAAGGGAGTGTGGTCAGTGACAGGGTCAGAGAAGCAATCAAAGGCCACAACACAGGAGACGTTGAAGGTCAGGGGTTGTACTCCAAGCGAGACAAGAAGCCATTAGAGGCTTCTGAGCAGAGGATTGACTTCCTGATGCTTTAGATGAAAGAATCCCTCTGGCTGCTGTGGGTGGGCGGTGGGGGTAGAGGCAGAGGAAAGGCCAGGAAAAGGGAAAAATTATAAGCAAGGCCCTAATGGCTGACTCTTAGGTGGCCCTAGGACAGGGTACCAACAGAACCACCAAGTCTGAGTGCTGTCAACATGGGGCAGGGGAGGGGAGTATCAGGGATACATCAGAGGAACTGATTTGAGCACTGAGGAGAGTGTTGCTCTTGATAAACACCCCGGGGACACATCATTTCCCCCCAGAATCTTTTCCTTAATGAAAACACAACTTTTCCACCCCAGGATTTCACAGACCTGGTATGTCTGAGTCAGTCTTTCTGTGCAGCACAGAGAGAACAGGATTCAGAGTCATATCCACAACTGTGCCCCTTACCATAAGGTAAGCCAGGGGACCCTCAGAGGCTCAGTTTTCTTATCTGTAAAATGGGACTTTTAATAGTAACACCTTGCAGTGTTACTGGGAAGATGAAATGAGTAAAGTGCTTTTTACTTCTCCTTACCGATATCGCCTCTAAGTAGCCTTTTTACTGAGATTCTTACCAAGGACCCCAAGAAGTCTGAGAGGGACTTTCAAAAAAGTGATACAGAGAGAACAATCCCCGGAAGAAATCCAAGTTCACCTTGGGGACCAAAGCTTCTCTGCTGAACTCTGCTAAAAGTCATTTCATTTCATCTCACATGTCCACCAACTCTGAACGATGCTGAAATAGAGGTTATTGTGTTTGTTTAACGTGGCTTCTAAGAAAGCTAATCTAACATTATCCGGCCCGCACCACAGAGTACCCAGATCCTTCTAATGATGCCAAAGTGTCCTAACACTGAAGGGACAAGCTAACAACTGCACCTCAGCATCTCCTGCCTGAGCTCCAGGCCCACCCAGCCCGTCTTTCTGGACACACACTCCTGATCTTCTCTCAAGCTTCAAATTCATCACATTCCCCAACTAAATTAATCATCTCCCCTGTAATTCTCAGGCAAACATGGCCTTCCTTCTACCAAGCCCTCTCTCGATGATGGGCGCCATGTCCACTCAAGCCAGAAACCTGGGCAACACCTCTGACTCCTTCCTCCCTTGTTCTCCAATATCGGTCATTCACGACCAAGTTCTCTGCAGCCCACCTCCTTGACGTGGCTCTGAAATATACTTTTTCCTTCAGTTCCACAGTACTGCCTTAGTCCACAGGTCCTACTGTTCACCTGGAATTTTGCAACTCACCTAGGGTCTCTCTGCTTCCTACCTCACCTACTGCCAAGCCACTCTCTATATTGCTAGCAAAGTAGTATTTTTGAAAACACAAACTACATCCTAGTATTTCCTTCTAAAAACCATTCAAAGGTTTCCTACTGCCCTCAGACCAAGTCCAAATTCCTCAGCATGGAGTATCTATGTTTCTGCTTTCATCCCTCTCCAGGAGCCTGACCTACAGAGCCCTTCAGAACCAGGTGCATACATCTGCCTGCCTTTGCAACTGCTGTGACACCTCCGGCATCCTTGAAGACTTGATTCTGAGAAGCGTTCCCTGCCCACCCTGCCCCCAAGTCTGAGTTGCTGAATGCCCCTGGGTTCACCTTTACCATAACACGTTACCTCACACTATGATTTTTATATTTGTTTTTATTTTTTTGGAATTTAATTTTATATACAGCAGGTTCTTATTAGTTATCTATTTTATACATATTACTGTATATATGTCAATCCCAATCTCCCAATTCATCCCACCACCACACCCCTCCCCTTTCCCACGCTGGTGTCCATACATGTGTTCTCTACATCTGTGTCTCTATTTCTGCCTTGCAAACCGGTTCATCTGTACCATTTTTCTAGATTCCACATATATGTGTTAATATACGATACTTGTTTTCCTCTTTCTGACTTACTTCACTCTGTATGGTAGTCTCTAGGTCCATCCACGTCTCTACAGATGACCCAATTTCATTCCTTTTTATGGCTGAGTAATATTCCATTCTATATATGTACCAAATCTTCTTTATCCATTCATCTGTCTAGGGGCATTTAGGTTGCTTCCATGACCTGGCTATTGTAAATAGTGCTGCAATGAACACTGGGGTGTGTGTGTCTTTTTGAATTATGGTTTTCTCTGGGTATATGCCCAGTAGTGGGATTGCTGGGTCATATGGTAATTCTATTTTTAGTTTTTTAAGAAACCTCCATACTGTCCTCCATAGTGGCTGGATCAATTTACATTCCCACCAACAGTGCAAGAGGGTTCCCTTTTCTCCACACCCTCTCCAGCATTTGTTGTTTATAGATTTTCTAATGATGCCCATTCTAACTGGTGTGAGGTGATTCCTCACTGTAGTTTTGATTTGCATTTCTCTAATAATTAGTGATGCTAAGCAGGTTTTCATGTGCCTCTCGGCCATCTGTATGTCTTCTTTGGAGAGATGTCTATCTAGGTTTTCTGCCCATTTTTGGACAGGGTTCTTTGTTTTTTTAATATTGAGCTGCATGAGCTGTTTATATATTTTGGAGATTAATCCTTTGTCCTTTGATTCATTTGCAAATATTTTCTCCCATTCTGAGGGTTGCCTTTTTGTCTTATTTATAGTTTCCTTTGCTGTGCAAAAGCTTTAAGTTTCATTAGGTCCCATTTGTTTATTTTTGTTTTTATTTCCATTACTCTAAGAGATGGGTCAAAAAAGATCTTGCTGTGATTTATGTCACAGAGTGTTCTTCCTGTTTTCCTCTAAGAGTTTTATAGTGTCCAGTCTTACATTTAGGTCTTCAATCCATTTGAGTTTATTTTTGTGTATGGTGTTAGGGAATATTCTAATTTCATTCTTTTAAATTTAGCTGTCCAGAGTTCCCAGCACCACTTATTGAAGAGACTGTCTTTTCTCCATTGTATATATCCTTGCCTCCTTTGTCATACATTAGTTGACCATAGTTGCATGGGTTTATCTCTGGGCTTTCTATCCTGTTCCATTGATGTATATATTTCTGTTTTTGAGCCAGCAACATACTGTCTTGATTACTGTAGCTTTGTATTATAGTCTGAAGTCCGGGAGCCTGATTCCTCCAGCTCCATTTTTCTTTCTCAAGATTGCTTTGACTATTCGGGGTCTTTTGTGTTTCCATACAAATTGTGAAATTTTTTGTTCTAGTTCTGTGAAAAATGCCATTGATAGTTTGATAGGAATTGCATTGAATCTGTAGACTGCTTTGGGTAGTACAGTCATTTTCACAATATTAATTCTTCCAATCCAAGAACATGGTATATCTCTCCATCTCTTTGTATCATCTTTGATTTCTTTCATCAGTGTCTTATAGATTTCTAAGTACAGGTCTTTTACCTCCTTAGGTAGGTTTATTCCTAGGTATTTTATTCTTTTTGTTGCAATGGTGAATGGGATTATTTCCTTAATTTCTCTTTCTGATCTTTTGTTGTCAGTGTATAGGAATGCAAGAGATTTCTGTGCATTAATCTTGTATCCTGCAACTTTACCAAATTCATTGATTAGCTCTAGTAGTTTTCTGGTGGCATCTTTAGGATTATCTATGTATAGTATCATGTCATTTGCAAACAGTGACCGTTTTAATTCTTCTTTTCCAATTTGTATTCCTTTTATTTCTTTTTCTTCTCTGACTGCCGTGGCTAGGACTTCCAAAACTATGTTAAATAATAGTGGCAAGAGTGGACACCCTTCTCTTGTTCCTGATCTTAGAGGAAATGCTTTCAGTTTTTCACCATGCAGAATGATGTTTGCTGTGGGTTTGTCATATATAGCCTTTATGATGTTGAGGCAGCTTCCCTCTATGCTCACTTTCTAGAGATTTTTTTTTTTATCATAAATGGGTGGAGAATTTTGTCAAAAGCTTTTTCTGTATCTATTGGGATGATCATATGGTTTTTATTTTTCACTTTGTTAATATGGGGTATCACATTGATTGATTTGCATATAGTGAAGAATTCTT